TCGATGACGGCTTATTTTTAGACGTAGCGCGAAACATCTCCATCCTTCTGCGTTTGGATTGATGTCAAGATGAAAGACAACTAACACGTAAAACCGAAATCGTTCATTTTACATGGAACTAGATCAAGCCTTGTGATCTATTGTGCTGATCCGGTACACGAATGGTTAACGAGCAGCCAGATCAGACCTGAACTCTATCCTGTTGTTAAAGGAGATGGTTTGCTTTGTTCCAACATGTTCTTGTGAGGCGCCAACAGAAGCAGATTTTACATGTGGAAATGTTTGAGGTGATAGAAGTAATTCGATTTGTTGTCTTTAATTTATAAAGTGCTTTAGGTGACCTAGTTGAAAGATTAACTTTGAGCTGTTTCAAGTAAATCACACGTGACCTATAACCAGCAAAGCAGGAAATCTGATGCCACAAACATTACTAATGTTGTTTGTTTATCTTTCCGAAGACCCCTTTGCTGATGCAACTAAGGGTGATGATCGGCTCCCAGGTGGGACTGAGGACTACATCCACATAAGAATTCAACAGCGGAACGGCCGGAAGACTCTGACCACGGTTCAGGGCATAGCCGACGACTATGATAAAAAGAAGCTAGTCAAGGCCTTCAAGAAGGTTGTCATTTAAGTCGCCCTAAAATAATGCACTTTTATGGTTGCATGAGTGGGGCATTTTTAACATTGCCTTATTTGAATCTTCAGAAATTTGCCTGCAATGGGACTGTGATTGAGCACCCCGAGTATGGTGAAGTAATTCAGCTGCAAGGTGATCAGCGCAAGAACATTTGCCAGTTTCTCACTGATGTAAGTATGAACTCAGTGGCTTTCGGCATATAACCTGTTGGCCTTTTCATGGTAGCTGATTGAATTGACCCATTTCCTGCATTTTACAGATTGAACTGGCCAAAGAGGAGCAGCTCAAAGTACACGGGTTCTAGAAGCTGATGTGAACTGACCCCTCCCCTCCCCGACTCTTAACCCAACCTACCCTGTTGTTGTGCTGCTGTTTCCCCCTGCAGCCCCCCCCCCCCCCCCCCCCCC